TTTTAGTTAAGTGTGGTTTACCACATTTTCTTATGTCTCTTTCTTTTGTTTTTGGAGTGAAGAGATTTATTAACTGCCTGTCTTCTGCATAATTATTGCACCATTTTGTCCGAGTTTTGTAGTCGGTACGGCGTTGTCAGGTTGTTCCTGCTCACCTCGTCAAATACTGCATACAGTCTCTCGGGGATTGGAATTTTAGATGATTTTACTGTGTCCCCACGAACATGGACAGGAGCAGCGTTTGTCCTCGGCAAGTATCGCGTTTCTATGCCTCAGGCAAGGGCATGATCCTTCTTCAGGTACCCCTTCTGCCCTCGATAAAACTTAATCAACACTCCGGAGCTGTTTTTGACTACAGTTTTCTCTTCCTGTTGGCTTCTCCCTTCCTGGTCTCATCACGCTTTGGAACAGCGACATTCAGTAAACAAATGGCGACGACAAGCTTTCACATGTCAGTTCTTTCAATACGAAGAACTTTTTTAGTGAACGTCAAAAAAATTTAGTGAAGTCGGAGAATAACGAAAATTAATCTAACTATCAACTGTTAAAACAAAAACCTCCTCTTTAAAGTATTTCGCTTCACTTTAGTATATTTCTGACGATCGTTCAACTATATTTTGCCTGACACCGGTTTCTGCAATAGTTTCAATTAAAATTTCGCGCGGGAAATTTTCCCGGCCGGGACCGGGTACGAGTGCATTGCGCATGCGCTTGCGTTTGACCGTGGTTAAATTTCATCGTATCGTGGAAGGCCTAGCTCGCCAAGCAGTGACATGTTCTGTAGCGAGCGAAGCACTATGGCTGAGTTGAATCGGTTTTATTTGAACGTCTAGCGATCTCTTTACTCGACAAAATGGTAGGTGTTCTTTTTCCTTGTTTTTACGACATAGTTTAATATGCAAGGCCATACTTAACGGCTCATCGCACTTTAGCAAAAGGAGAAAGCTAACAAGAGTTTACCATTTTCAATTTCACGTGGTGTATCGTTTGAGTTCGAGCAGCATAAACTTCTAAGTCCTATTTCCAGTAGTAATGTGTCTTGTCACAAAGTCTTCGTCCGTATATTTACCACCACTTTTTTGTACTCTGGCGGAAAGCCTTTAATGAATTCAGCGTGGTTATTTTAGGTTTCACGCTGGGGCTTTATCGTCGACGCGGTGAATGTTGAAGGTTTCCCTAAATGCGACAATAGTTAATTCCCGGCGCTTTTTACTGAACTATAGTCTTTAAATCCTTCGCATATGAAACGAATCGATTCTGAACTAAAAATAAGTTAACCCAGACAATGCAAAAGCAAGAAAAATGTAGTTATTTCCGGGAAAAATGTCACAGTTTCTTAGAAATTTCAAAATTTCTGTTTGCATGTGGTCGCTTGAAACGTGTTTTTGAAGGCTAACAAGGGCAGAAAGTCTGGCTGTATGCTCTTGTTTCAGGTTGATGTTACTAAATTCACGGATTTTATGTGATACCTGAATGAAAGCATGATGTCAATGAATTCGAGAAAGATCGACTGTGAACGTGACCGTGAAGCAATATAGACCTTGTCACGGTTTTCGACGCCATCTTGGCGAGTAGGCAAACGCGTGAGAAATTGCAGTGTTTGTATGATAATCTAATGTCGAATAATTTCCGTAGAATGGCTGTTCTGAAAAAAATATGAATTGTAAACTAAAGTTTCAATCCTAACGAATCTACTGAAAAAACCTGAGGGCGTTACATGCGCTAGAAGACTTAAGAACCACTTTTTAAAATTTTCTTTACATTTGTCTGTAAGAACGTCCCGGGAAAAATTACAGACAAATATATGGACAATCTAAAGCAAGCCTTTGGAGAAATTTAAGCAGAGTTACGCCCCAAAATTTTTTTAGTACAATCCTTTGTTTTGTATCTTTAGTTTACAAGTCATATTTTTTTCAGAACAGCCGTTTTACGGAAATTATTCGACATTAGATTCTCATACAAACACTGTAATTTCTCATACACGTTTGCCTACTCGTCAAGATGGCGTCGAAAACCGTGACAAGGTCCATTTTCTTTTACATGTCTGGCCCACAGTCCTTAAATCACAATAACGCACAACGCTCCTCCAGACCCCGCTAAAACGGCTGCGAAGGACACTAACAGACGGGTCCTTTTGTTCTTCTATCCAAGAGAATTTTAGTAGCAGTTTTATGCAGATGTAGACGTAATGTTTCCTGTGCAAATTGATTCCTGTTTGTACGAATAATAATCAAACAATAATATACAGATTTAGCCAGGGCTAAAAGCAAAGCTCACGTTAATAAATTAATAATTTAAATCAAACAATAAACATCAATCAGTTAACTTTGAGGTACATTCATGAGACTTTTGAGGGAAAGTGATTTTAGAGAAAAATAATTTGATACTCCAAGAGTGAAAAAAATTTTACATCGAGTTAATAGTCTTATATGTACACCGAAAATCAGCAATCTTCTTCGATCACAGTAGATTAGGCTTAGAAAGCAAATTTTTTCCCAAACAAAAGAAGTTCAACCCAGTCACCCACGTACACCACCTTTATTTTATATGGTTAATTCGTAGTCTCTCCAACCACGCCTTTGGAGAGAGTATGGAGACAATTGGACATCCGCAATACATAATTTTATGCAATACACGATAGTCCCCGGTTGCAGCCAATTTACACGTTGCATTCCTCTGTCTAAAGAGAAGGCCAATATAATTTTTTGTGTTTCGAAAAAGACTTGTGTTCGACAGGTTTACTTTACAAGTAAATCTTGGCGACAAATCTGGTGGTGTGTAAACCAGTCTTTCAAATATATACTTTTTATCAATGTTTTTATACATAAGGTCTGAGGAAAACAGTGCTGTACCTGTGTGCCTTTTTTTATCATACAGACCTCGAACATAATTTGTTCTTCCTTTCCCTATTTAAAGCTATAATTCTGCAGTTTTTCACAATTTTGCAAGACAAATTGCACTCACTCAATATCCAGGACGATCGAATCTGCTCCTATGTGATATGCAGGGTAACACTTATGGGCTTTTACTGAAAACAATAAAAAAATTCCCCAAAATCTCCTATATATACGGTCAGCCAGACGGGTTCTCACTTCTCCCAAGCACCAAATTTGCAGTCCGAGCTATCGGAGCCGTTTGAATGAACATTAATAGAGTTAAGCTTCAACATGGTAGAGAACTTACTAAGTTTAGGTTTTATTTCCCTATATTTAATTATGGTTTTGTTATGTGTTATCTTTAAAAGCGTTTTTTTGTTTACGCGCGGCATTTTGAGTACTTATGCTTGGATGTTTTGTTGTATGTTCGGCAGCGGTGGCGGGAGGGGGGGGGGGGGGGGGGGGGGGGAGGTGACTCTATTGCTTTCCACCTACGTTTCTTGACCCACTCCGTCTGCCAGTGTGACGTCACATAGTAACGGACAAGAGCCTCGGGTCGCTTGTGCAAGTTAGCAAGGGATACCACAGTAATTAGGACGAGCGAGAAAGAGGAAAAGCTAAGAAGCTAGCAAATATCGCTATATATCGCTAATTTGATCGAAAGTGTGTGAGTTTGGTGTTGCTATAATCTGGTTGAGTAAACTGTTTTGATATTTTGTGTCCGTAATTGTGTAATTTGGTTAATTTGTTTTGCGGGTCGTGTTGCGGGATCGCCATCTTTTTTACGGGACCGGCAGGGTCATCCAAACTCATATCCTTTTCTTCTCTAAAATAGGCAAGGTCTAGTCTCCAGAATAGGAGGTCCATTCACAGATCACACGTATTTATATTTCATCTGTTCTTTCGCTAATTAAACCGGCCAAACTTCGTATCAATCCTTTCGAGTGAGGGCCTATGTTGATCTCCTAATTCTCCACCAAATTCAGTAAAGCTAGTTCGATCGATTATCTACATCGATCGGCCCGTTGAACCTGAAATAATGCGAAATAGCTTTGAAATACGCGCTTAAGCTAATTTTCCTCAAATGTATGTTTGAATTCATGATAAATACAGCTCCACCAGCGTCAAACAGCGTCTTTCAGGTCTTTGGCAGACTGAAAAATGGTTTTGATATAACAAAACTAATTTTTCAAATCGTGTGTGTCTCTGTGGTGCAGTGGTTTAGGAGTTGCTTGCACGTGCAGATGAACCTAGAATGCAAAACAGTTCGTAGTTTTACGTATTCAAGTACGCGCGAGCAGTCAAACAAAAGGTCTGCAACGAGGCTGAAAACAGAGAGTGAGACTGGGGGAGACGCTTTTTTTCTCTCGCGTGTGAGGCTCACGCGCTTCGCGCGCGTACGACTCTTACGCCACGCTTTACCGATTTCTTTTCTGATTTTGAGAAAAAAACCGACTGTTTTGAAGCCTAACATAAACCGGGTTCGACTCCCGCGACCCTTTTTTCTGTTTCTTTGTACCTTTTTTTTTCTGTTTGGTCTTTGTTTTTAAACACTATCTTAACTTTCCTTTTGGCCTGTTTTCCTTTATTCTTCCTGCTGACCCTGCTGATCAGGCACAGTGATCACCATATATTTTACGATTAAGTCCGGAGTTTTATTTTGGTAAAAAGATTTCAAGAGCTCTTGATCTGCATACTCGTCAAGCTTACGGCCAGAAAAAAACATAAGCTGCCAAGACATGTCCCTCCTCTGAAACAGCTGATTTTTTTTTAATGTAAGTTGACATCATGACAAACAACACACGGTACACCACAAACTGTACTAATTTGCACCCAACACCCACCAGTGACTCACTGGCGAAATTTAAACTTGCCTTTGGTACATCGTCATAATCATCAATATTATTACTATAAAATCTCCACTGGGCTTGCCCACAAAAAATAATTAACGAAACCTTTTATTGGTTTTCGGGATTTAATTACACAATTACAGTTGTATGCCCAATACAGTATCGAAATGCGGTAAAGCAACAAGATTCAATGCTTCCAGTCTGTGATGAGGTTTTAGCGGAGAAATTCAGCCAGCTTTTACAGAAAGGGAAGTTGCTTTTGACCTTTCTCACCATGGTCACGCGTTGGTCACGCTCTACGTCCAATTTGTATGCTCTGATTGGTCAACATTTGACAGGTGAGTTCATGCGGAAAATTTATACAGCATCTTGAAACTTGTTTACTGAGAGCTCAAACTGACAGAGTTTTGTGTAATATTGTCATGTTTTTAACTGTCTTTTTCCACTGGATACACAAAATGAAATACAGCTGCTAGCAAGATTCTTAAGTTATTCATGGCTGGTTTGTTTATTGTTTTTTTGGCTGAGAAATGCGCCGCTTGTCAAAGTCATCGGAAATCCGATTTCCCATGGATCGCTTTTACTCACTTCCCCTTGCTTAATGCTTATTATAAAGAAGGTTCAAAAAAGTGTCAAGCGATTCTGTTGGCCTTCAGGAGCTGCATCTTGACTGGTAAGCCTGAGTTGTTATTGCCTTTGATGTTTTTTTTTTTTTCCGGTTTCCTAAAGTCGAGCGTACTTTCTGCGCCTAGTTTATGCACAAGACAGTGATCTGACCTACAATAGCATCAGGTTTGATGTAAGGTTACAGATTTTTAAAAGTCTTAACATTTTCCGACCGCAAATACAAAGAAAACGTTCCAAAGATTACCATTTATAATGATTTTGGCTGTTAAAAGAAAGCTCTGAGCGATATTCTTGCCTCGCAGTTCATCTTGAAGTATAGCAAACACCGTTAAGCCGGCTTAAAACATAAATCTGCAAGGTTTTAAGTTTATAAGCATATGCTTACCTGACTCATGATTTTCAGAGACATTTCACTTCAAAACTTACCTTCGTAAATGAAAATTGTTGTGTCTGTACATGTTTCACCGAAGTATATATTTTTTTACTGATTGTTAGTAGTCTCTTTCGCAATTTTAATCGCAGCGCCGGTTGTTTTCAATCGAACCAGGGGGGAAGCGGGGGGGGGGGGGGGGNTTTGGTAAGGGGGGGGGGGGGGGGGGGGGGGGGGGGGGGAGGTGTCTCCAAGGAAATCGGTGGTTCAGTCCGCCTGCCAGTATGACGTCACGTCTCGCGTCAGTGACTTTCAAAATGGCAAGCAAAGTGTTCATCGAAGAGACGGATAAAAATTTCGAATTTATCGCGGAACTGACTGTTCTGAATTTGGAGATTTTAAGGTTCCTATTGTCATAGAAAACTAGACTTAAGAACTTTTTTGGAATGAAACGTCCAGTGATGTAATGAATTAGAAAGGTTCCTTTCTATCGTCGAGCAAATTTTACGGGCAATCTTACCAAACGGCCACACTTTTGAGGGCCAGTGCACAGCAAGATTGAGGAAATTAGACACAGCAATAGGAGGTTCATCACAGGATGTATTATACTTTACATTGTGCGTATTTTCAGCTCTTCAGAGCTAGTGGAACCCCATATCAATCCTTTCAAAGTTAAATATGAATGGACGCCTCAGTAAACTTTCAAGGTTGCAATTTTGAGCCCTCTCAGAGCTACTATTCAAATGCACAGACATGATTTCAAAACTGTAGTCGTGACCTTTAAGAAGTGATTGTTCCGTCAAAAAAAAAACATATCGCTAACATGAAATTTAAGCGAAACTTTTATAGGTCCATTTTTACATGCTCGTTCCAATCAAGCGGTTTGCCTTGGGGTGTGAAAAATAAACTGCTGTTTTTGTGAGGATCTTGAGTTTACGTTGACTAAAATGTGTGCTAACAAACAACGTCGGGTTTTAAAGGAAAAGAACTAAGGAAGTTATTCAGCGGTTGCGCTGGCGAAAGGACGTGTCTCTTTCTCTCCGTGCTTTTCCCTTTCCCTTCGACCTAAAATTTTGTTTAAATGGGAGAAAAAAACCTAACAAAAGAAAATAAAAAACTGAGGAAGGAAGATGAATCTCTCTCGAATGGCCTTGGGTTATTGAAGAGTTATTTTAAGAAGATACAGAACTGGCCAGCCGAGCTCGTGATCCTGCAGTTGATTTGTCTCAAGTAGAATCAGGCATTCAGTTCACAAGCGACAAGTATGATGCTCTTTTAAAATTTGTGAAGAATGCTCAAGGTCAGCTTAAATCGATTTCCTCACGGATTGTAGCAGTTTCTGAAAAGTGTAATGAAAACTCTGCGGCCATTGATGAGCGATCCAATCATGGATAAGATCCAATACAGCTATCTCTACAACGTGAAGATCGTGGGCATGCCGATATCGTCTGAGCGACAAGCCGAATGCCATTGTATGTAAATTTGTTAGACGCTTAACCAAAGATAAAGTTATGCCAAGGGAGGCCTTCAACTTACAACCTGAGGACTTAGGATTTGACGCAGACGAAACCAGCGAAATCCGGCTTTATGAACATTTAACCCCAAGAATTCGAGATCTTCTCTATCAAGCCTCTTACTACAAGAGAGCTAATCAGTTCAAATTTTGATGGGCAAAAAGTGGTTTTCGTTTTTCTGCGAAAGTCGGAGACTTCACCAGTTGTAAAATTACAGTGTGTAGAAGATCTTCGCATGTTGGAACATGGCCCAAGTTCTGGTGATGACAGCCACCATGATCATGACTATATGTTAAGTACTTTGCCTCTCTTCTTAGAAGCAATAGTACCATCCCTCCCATAGCAAGTGCTGCATTGTCGCGCGGACGCGGTCGCTAAGCTTGAATATTCACGTCGCGTATTAATCCTGGCAGTTTGCAGTTATATCAAAGCGTAAAGGTCAACGGTGTTTGTTGATGAGCGAGCGATTATTGTGCAGTTGCGATGGGTTTTTTGGAGCTAGCGAGCAAGAAGCCGGAGCACACGTTACCTGCAGATTAGCCGATGGCAATTTGGAGCGGATTCGTCGATTATTCTCGAATTTATAACGCTTTGCGTGAAGGCGCGTGGAGATGGTCCGTTTGTTTTGTAGCCAGCCTTTAATTCTTCTTTAGTGGATAGTACCTACGATTGCTAAACTCGGCAAAATGCCACTTTAACCTGCCATGACGGACAAGGAGACTTTCAGTTAAAGATATCTTAACTTTGTTTTGTTATATTTTGACTTTTGGACTATTTTAGTTTATGGGAGTTTCGACGACTCGTCCTATTTTGTTCATGTGAATATTAATATCTTTATTTGACACATACTACTTCTGGGGCGCCTGTGATATAACTGACTGGTTCCTCTTGGCGGATCTCTAATTAAAGAGGTGCTGTAGCCAGACGTCACTTGATGTGTAAAATGACACAAAACTGAATGCAAGGCTGGCACTACGGCAAAGGGTTGATTTATTATAGGCCAATATTTCGGCTAACAAAATTAGCCTTCCTCAGGGCCGGAGCTTTACAGGGAGAAAATATCTGTTAACGGCTCCTAAAATTTAAACCTAAAATTTACATAAGTGGTTAACAGTTAACTAAAATTATGAATACTAGGTAGAATAATATACAGGTAAATGATAATACAATAAAAATAGAAATAGAAAGAGTTCAATGTTCATTCCCTGGGTTCAGACCGTCTGGTGACAGGGTTTAATACAACTAATCTTTTATCCTGTAGGAATATAATTTCAGATGTCAGTGATCACTTCTCGCAATTTTGTATAATATCAAACAATGTTATTAAAAGTCGTGTTAATAATTCGACAAAAGTTCATGATTTCTCGCAGTTTTCGGAATCTAAATTTCTAGGGGATCTATCCAATATTAACTGGACAAGAATAGTGTCTTCAAGAAACATGCCTGCATTTTATAATAAGTTTAATCGGAGATTCAACACCCACGCGCCCTTTAAAACTGTTTCAAAACAAATGGCTAAACAACTTTCAAAACCTTGGATTACTAAGGGGAATAAAGACATCAATTAAAATTAAGAACAGTTTATTCCATTCTAATTATGAGGATAAATACGGAATGTATAGAAATAAGATTACTACTCTGATTAGACCATGAGTAAATAATAGTATAATCATAACTATTATCAGGCCGCTAACTATCTCTAACATGTAAAAGACCTCGACAGGCATAAATGAACTTATTTATCGCGCAAGGAAAAAAGTGAAAAATATTTCTGCCTTTAAGGATGAGAATAGTGGTCGATTAATCCACGATCCGAAGAAATTACCAACTGTCATGAACAAACATTTTTCCTCATGTGGACCTATTCTAGCTGCCAAGCTACCCCACTCTGAACGTCATTTTTCGGAGTATTTTGATCATAGTTGTCAAAAATCCTTTTACTTTAATCCTGTTACTCCTGCTGAAATAAAATGTGAAATATCGCTTTTGCCTATCGGAAGGTCACATAGGGCTTACTCGACTATCATCTTAAAAGTTGCAAAGCTTTTCATAAGTAAGCCATTTATGGATATAATGAATGCTTCTATCTCCGAGGGAACCTACTCTGACAAATTGAAGTTGGTAAAGGTGGTTCCTATTTTCAAAAGTGGTGATGACTCCGACACTAACAACTATTGTCCTATATCTCTCCTCTCTATATTCAATAGAATTTTTGAAAAACTCATGTACAAACGATTGAAGTCGTTTTTTTGAGGCAAATGATCTTTCTCATGAGTCGGCATAATACGGCTTGAGAGAGAAACACTCAGCATGGAATAATTGACATAGTAAATAGGATAAAAAACAATATGGACAAAGGAATGTTTTCCAGTGGAATTTTTATAGATCTTAAAAAGGCATTTGATACAGTTAATCCTGCAAAATTGTTAAGCAAGCTAAAGCACTCTGGAATCAGTGGCATTATTGCGTTTTGACGAAGGAGAACGCATACTATTTGAGTCTTTTTGCGTACCGTACCTGAAGTGGTAACCGTTCTGTATGCCATGCGATTTCACGGTTTGGACGCCATCTTGGACCGGCCTGGCACATTTTGCCTCGATCTTTCTCACCCGGGAGCTGGTATCTATTTTGTGACGCTCGTTCACAGATAAAACTTTCGCTATTTTCTGTTTACTACAGGTTTTTTTTATAGTTTTTCTCGGAGTTTTCAATGAATTTACATAGGAAAATTTCCATTCTAAGATAATCGGATATGTAGATATTATGTTAAAAATGCGTTCTGCACACTGTATTTTGTTTTTATGGATTCAAGCAAGATCAGCTGAGATCGACCATATTTAATTCTATTTCAAATTACATTTTTCGCTTTTAAAAGTTATTACACCGTTGTATTTGCTTTTGTTTGTCACCATTTTTGAAAAATGTACAAGAAGCTGAACAATGAAACGCTGACGTAAGTAAGTAAGTAATAACTTTATTTAACGAGGGTAAAGACATTGATTACTGGTCACCCAGTAGTTTTCATAATGGCCCTCCTACAATTAAAGTAATAAAATGTATCGATTAATTAATTAACTACCTATATAATCTACCAACTAAAATTACATAATGAACTGCTATTAATACAATATTGATTAATTGACTACTAATGAAACTAAAAGGTTTTACAAATCTTAAAATGATCAAGAAAAGAAATCATACTGCGGTAAAGTTTAAATAAGTAATTTTTAAAATTAGTATGGGAGAGTGTCTTAGGTTCGGGATCAAGGGCGTTCCACAAACGGCAAGCGCTTGAGTGAAACGTTCTAAGGCCAGAGTTCCTTTTACAAGCTGGTGTTGTAATATTGTTATTGGAAACGGATCTCGTGTTATAATTATGGGTGTTACTTATATGTTCAATATATTTATTAAAATAAGCCGGGCAATGTCCTTGATTTATTTTATGAAGCATATAAAGCTTCCTAATACGTATAATATCATCTATAGGCAGCCAATCTAATTTGTTAAAAAGCTTGACTGAGTTTTCGTGAGTATCAGCATCTAAAATAAGCCTAGCACATCGTTTCTGTAGTCGTAAAACTCTGTGGAGGTTACCAACGGTACAGTTACCCAAGACCGTACAACAATACTCTAGTATTGGCTTGATGAGGGCATTATATAACATTGACCTTTTCATCTCACTAATTCTGGGTGCGTTGAGTGAGGTGAGTCAGTGTTAGCCTAGTGTCACGCAACAAGGGTTTAAAGTGGTATTCGACGCTTAAACTTTTCAGACAACTTTAATTTTCCGTATCCCAATTTTTAGCCAATTTTATTGACCATCCTTGAGTGCAAAGGATATCCTGAGGATCATAGTCAGTGTTTGACCTGTTGTTACTTACATGTACTTTACTTACTGGTTTAGCCAAGTAAATGTAAAAAGTACAGTACGTCTTGCATTTTTGAGGAAAAATGAAATAGTAACGAATTGTAAAGTGGGAGGATAAAAAATAACACTAGTAAAGACAGCTGCTGATATTCGTATTGATAAAAGTGTTTGATTTTGGTTTCTCAATATTACAAGCCCATAAGGTTTTGCACCCCCTTCCCAGTACCACTCACAACCCACCACCCCACCCCCCCTTCCCATCGAACGCACTCCCCTAGTTGGCAGTTATTACTAGTATTAGATTGGTTTTCTTCTTATCTTAAGGGTCGATCTCAAGTAACCCAAATTGGCGAGAATTCCTAACCTAAGGAACTAAAATATCTGTGCAGTCACTCAGGGATCTGTTTTGGGCCCTCTTTTATTTCGGATCTACATAAACGATATCTATAAATCCTCAAATAAGTTCTTTCTCTTTGCCGATGTTACTACTCTTCTATTTGCTCATAAAAATTTGCAACTGCTAGAAAAATCTATCAACACTGAACTGCGGGAAGTTTCTGAGTGGCTTATCGTCGATAAGTTAACACTGAACATAAAAAATCAAATTACGTTATATTTCACCGCAACCAGAAGGAGATTGATAAGGAGATTGATATCAAAATGTACGATTCTAGTGTTAATAGGTCCTGTTCTCTTGATCGTAAAGAATTTGTTGAAAGTCCTGGGAATCCTCATCAATAGTAACTTAAATTGGAAACATCATATCAACTTTGTTTCTCTCAAAATTAGTTAAACTATTGGAATCTTAGTAAGATTAAGACTCTTCGTTCCCCGCCAACTCTCCTGATGATTTATCGTTCGCTCATTCGACTATATTTATCCTATGGGATATGTGTATGGCGTTATGCAGCTAAATCGTACCTATACAAACTTCTTATCCCTCAAAAACGTGCTCTTCGATTAATTTATTTTGCTCCCAGTTATGCTCATCCTATTTCTTGTTCTATGAATGCAAAGATTTTCCGCTTGAAGGGGTAAAAGGCACAGGCGTTGAGAATAGAATGATAGTACAGTCCAGACCGAATATTGTTTTCAAATCAGAGTTTCAGTTAACTGCAAATAACTGTTTCAATTAGCCTACAATTTGCTTTGATCTTTTAATGTTTTAATTTATGTGTTGGGTAAGTAATGCACGGTAAAGTTTTAGATATGGTGTGTTATATTTATTTGCTTGCTTTCTAACCTGCAGTTTTGGAGTTTTTGACTTAGTGTTTTCGCATATCTTTTAAAGTTTATAATTTGTATTTCTGGGAAGTCGTAGTGGGGGTTTACCGTCCGACTGTCCTAATCTAGACACTGTTTCAGAGCAATCTCTGCTGACGTCATTGTTTACATTTTTCCTCATTAACGTACGACTTAACTCAAAGAAGCCGTGGCCGTATATACGAACTAAATTCAAAAGTTGAAAGATCTGATTAACTTAAACAATTTGTGCAATTTTCAACTTATTAAAAGCAATATTGAAGGAAATATCAGCCATCTAAAACTGCCAAATTGCTGGGTAGCAAAAAAGCTAATGAGCCATACATTCTCAGTAAAATTTTTAGAAGAGAATTTCTCCGAAATCATTCGGTATATCGGGCTCAAATTTTCAGAGATAACTGAAATTGTTTTGCTTTTTTAATATTCAGGGGTTTTATTTTATCAGCTTCATCAGATGTAATGAGCATATGTTAACGGAGGCAGAAAATGTAAACAAAGAGTCGCCGATAAGGTTAAATGTAAGAGAGTACTCCCCCCACCGGGGATTTATATCGTCAAAATGAACACTATCAATTATTAACTTAGTAAAGATAAAGCGTGTTAAGCGAAAGCAGCCATTAAATGAAGATGTGTTTGAAGCTAGTATACTGGGCTTTTTCATCTTCTCCTTCAAAAGATGCTACGATGAGTACCTTCTGGGCTTTTTCTTCACTTTTTTTGAAGTTCATACCTTTTGAAGAGTTTTTTCCTTCCAAAACGTGATTACAAATCTTTCTCTGTGTGTAGCTAGTGTGTGTGTTTACATCCATTGAACAAAGACTCTCAAGCTATCATTGGCACTTATTTTAGTTCCTTCCTTCAAAAGATGGTAGGATGGGTCGCTTTCGAGGTTTCTCTTTGCTTTATTTTGAAGTTCAAACCGTTTAAAATGTGACGGCCAATGTCTCTTTTTATGTTATTGCGGTTCTGCGTGTGAACGTCGTTCCTTAAGGAAAGGAATGTGCTCATTGCAGATCGTCACGTCCAAACATATATATATATAGAGAGAGAGATATATATGCCTGGCGCCAAAAAAGTAGGGGGCTTAACGTCTTGGTCGGTACAGCTGGATAGCCCAGGGACTGCCCTAACAGTGGGTGGGTGGATCAGGCCCTGGGGTCAAAACTAGTGGGGTAGGGAGGGGGCTGTTTTGACACAACCCCTTCAGTAAGCAGCAGTGTTCAGTGGAGGCTTTCACTGGCGAGTATCTTGGTCTTAAATTTGCCCTATATCTAGCCAGCTGAATCAGGCCTCTGCTGAGAATGATTATCATGATAATTGCAGAGCTCAGGGGGAGGTGCAGACAGTCACCCATATTTATATATTCACTTGGACGGTAAGAAATGCTTTAAACGCAATATTAGACAAAAACAAAACTGAAATGTAATTTGCTTTGTTAGTTTTAAGAACCAGGATTGAGAAATGTACTGCTTGTATACAGTACAGTCGGCTACAGTATAGCCGACCCTGTCGAGTTTTATGGGTGCTTGAAAAATAATGCTAATCGTTTCCTGCTTAGAATGGCTAACTTGCTTATTTTTATTCATAATGGTGGAATTTAAAAGTTACTATACAGCCCGATTTAAAAATGGGACTAATTTTTCTTGTTACGAAAGTCTTCCAAAATGGTACAATAAGTGCATACAGTCGCCCCATCCCCTTGGAAGAAATCGCCCCTTGGCAGCCCAGTTAAAATCGCCTTTCAGCCTTCTTGTTATTCATGAAACAGTTGAGTAAATACGGCAATGGCTACGTGGCATACGTGGATTGCGGAGGATAAAAATTTATCCAACGGGAAATAATACAAGTTAAGGGCTTTCTGCTGTTCACATTTATTCACTCCATGGTAAGTTGTTTGCCCGAGAATAGTGAGAAGAGATAATTTGATATTATACACTTAATGTCAGATCCCAAGGGGAACAGTTTTGTTTTCCCGAGAGTCCTGATGTCTCCCGAGACGAAGCCGAGGGAAACATCAGGACTCGAGGGAAAACAAAACTAACTGGTTTCCCGAGGGACCTGACATTAAGTGTTTTATTATATTTTTAGACTTTCAATTCAACAGCAACAAAAGAATAACCGGAGCGACCTAAAACAGTCGACTCGGTACTTATAACAACACAAATTTAATTCTCAAAACCACTGAATAAATGATTTACAAAGTACTTTCCTTATATTATCTGCATTTTTTTTCCTCCACTAGCTGCTATTTTTCTTCTGGGAACTTCTACGATAACTTTAAAAATCGTTGATTTTTAGCTTGAGGCTTTGTGTTTGCGTTGTTGTGTTCATTCACGAACAAGAAAACTGGCAGGACCTGGCGATGTTTTTCCTGCCTTCTGTCACGACACATTCCTCCATACTTTGATCACGTGCTGTAAAGTAGCCCGGTGGCTGAACACAGTTTTGGCAGTTTGTATGTCATTTGCCAAATCATGGCAAGAGAAAGGTTGCAGGTCACAAGCTGAAACTTGGCAAAGTGAAAAAAATACTAATGAAAGATTTTGAATGACAGGTAAAATGTGACATTTTCGTAGCTTCCATGGCAACATGAAGGATTGAATACAACCTTAAAATTTCACTTTGCTCAGTTTACATAGAAATCGCTCGTTAGATTGTCCTACAAACTTGCACATAGCTTACTATAATTAATCATTACCATTTGAAACTTATTTGACCAAATTTTAACAGATGGGTTTTTAGATAATCAATAATATAATTGTACTGTAATTATTAAGTGTGTCACAAAATTCGTCTGTTCAACTTCCATGTTAAAGTTCTCATTATTTAAAATACGATTAAACTAAAAATTCTGCCTAATATCACAAAATTTGAATGAGTAGATTTTGAGGAATCGTCTTCTGTGCACCATTGCTTTTTCGCCGCCATGATTGTTTGTGTATTTAAAACACGCGCCGTCACGCGAGTTACCGCTGACCGCCAGCCAAACTGTGTTCAGCCACCTTAATGTATCACGATCGGGATACATTTGCACGTAGCTACCCTCATGACCTAATTACAAGAGCACGTCTCCGAGTGGAAGAAAGACAGAGGGCTGACCTCAGTAGTAGTCACCACCCCGGGTAGTAACTGCACTGCGGCCGACCGGCCCCCACTGGTGATTACATACCATCCCAGGGACATCGCCGTCTGTGATATCCTACGGCGAAATTATACCATTCTACGGAATGACGACAGCACCAAGGTCACATTTGACAAACCGCTGCGTAAAGCCTTCCGTCACCTGAAAAGATCTTCTGGCTCATAGCTCCTTACCGCAGGTTCTCCAACGTCATATAGGCACTTTTCCTTGTAATAGACGTGACTGCCGGACCTGTCCCTTCATTAACTCCTCTGACCGTATTACCACTGCGGAAAGGCAGATAAAAATGTCAGGGTTTTTTACGTGCATCTCCGGCGAGCTGATCTATTGTATTTGGTGTCGCAAATGCCCTAGGTCGTTAACATAGGAGAGAGAGGCCGTAGACTTGGCGACCGATTTCGGTAGCACCGTTTAGACGTCATTAAGAAGAAAGTGGCCCTGCCGTTGCCTGCCCATTTTGCGGGAATGGACCACCAGCTAGAGGACATGCAAGTAGCCGTGATTAGGGCTGGTTTACCCGAACAAGACAAAAGAAGACGCGAGGAGATGTGCTTTATTCATAATTTTGGCACATTAGCGCTGGGTGGATGGACTCAATCAAAATTCCTCCTTCACGTGACTTGCGCGCGCGCACACTCGCTTGTTTTTAGGCGCGCGTTTTCAAATTTTAAAATGTTTCGCTATAACGAACTCACATATTTTCCCTGATGAAGGCAGCATTGCCGAAACGTCGGAGTTTTATTTGCAATTATCAGTGATTAACTTACCACCTTTACACTTTTACCACACACAAACGCTACGCAGGAACCCCCTTTATTACTTCGGCGGAGCGCGAAGTAAAGGATTCGCGACGCTCAGGAATGTATCAAAGTTGACTTCTTTTGACAAGATTGGGCACGCAAAGTCTATAGGTTTCCGGTTTTATTCGGCTATTTGACGAAGTGAGAGCCGAATTAGTTCGAGATATCTCGAGATCACTTCGATTTCTTTGATTTATTCTTTAACTTTTTCGAGGAAAACGAGTTACTATTTTGGCTTTCCCGGGGTTTGAACCGCTTCACTCGTGTGACCCGTCAGCCAATTGCGCTATTGCGACGCAAGGTAGTTTGGGATACGAAAAATAGTTATGAAATGATGCACTAGTTTCGGAACAAGATTGGGTGTGCAAGTTCGTGACTTTTCGGCTTGTTTCAGCTATTTCACGAAATGAGACCGGACTACTTCGTGATACCTTGAGATCACTTCGAGTTTAGTCTTTAATTTACTCGAGAAATAAATAGAGGATATTACGTGGTCGCGCAGAGACACGAAATTTCTCTTCGAGTGTTGAAAAACATTTCACGAGTGAGCCCTGCTTTCGAACTGTTTTATGATGAATTTAAAGTTGCAAAATGCTGCACAAAGACATTTTGTCTTTGTTGAGTGTTTACGTAGTAAAATTGCTTTCATGCGTTGCGCGACTTTCTCGAACGTTCTCTACGTTTTTTGGATTGTTCATGATAATTAATTAGGCCATGTTTACATTTCAGCATGAGTTAGCAGATTTGCATCAGTTACTGAAATCACAAAATAAGTCGAAAAGCTACTACTATTCGCCTGTTTAGTAATTTCTAGAACCTTATGTCAAAGTTCAAGTGAGAGTTTGTTATTATTGGTAGAGGCTGTTAAGTTTTACTTAAGTTCAAGTCAAGTTTGTGTTGGCGGATGCAGTGTTTTAAAGCTCTGTAAAGGCTATGTTCCTTTGGTATTAAACTTCCTTGTGTTAATCCGACATCCCTGCGTGCTGATAGTCAGTGAATAGTTATCCTCAGAACATTCGAACTCGTAACATTGAGTTTTAGCCAATTCCATGCTCAACGTAATTGATTCCTTACCCATGCCTTACATATCTTTAATCAGTATATGAGACTGCCATGCTGTTTTTGAAGCCTGATGTGACTAAGAAAAATAGATAATTCTTTTTTTTACTGTTTGTTTCGTTAGACTTGTTATTCACGCCAGTAACCTCATATTTGACTTAGGCCTAAACGTTTAGACCCAAGTCAAATTTAGAAGATTTGTATGGAGTCATCAGAAAATAACTGGGCTGATATCTCAAAGACAATTTGTCCCGAAATGCTATTTTTTGGCAAACAGGCCTCTTGGATGTTGCTCTTTTTAGAATATCCTGACCAATCCCATAATTTCACAAATTAACACCTTACTTATACCATATTTCATTTCTTACCATTCCTCCGCATTTACAATTAATCCGTTCCACAACCAGAACGCCGAAGTGTACGCTCCCTAGCGTCTTGTTTGTGTCTACATTTTATTTTAGTCAAGGCCACTTGACCAAGAATCAACCAATGGCAGTCCCTGTTTAGTTGAGTGAAAGTCTAGGAATATAACCATACAGGATATGTACTAACAACAACGTTCCTATGCATGTTTTAACATGCACTCGTGTAGTACAATTGATCTCACAAATGATAGCGATGGTATATCAATATTGAACAGCTGTTTGTCCAGAATTGGTTCGTTTGCATTTAGAATCCGCTTTAGAGGATATTATTACTAGGACGCCATGTTATTTGACAGAGCGTAGAATCTTTAGAGATTTCATTGATAAAGTATTCTTCCGTTCCTCCTCAGTGACCTATCTATTGTATCTTAATTATCCTGTCAAATTTTACGATCATTTTGTTTATCTTAATCCTTCTTGTATTCTTCTTGTTAAGTTTTATGAATTCATTTAATTAGTCTAAAGCCTTCCTCGGGAAGAGTCAATAGTTTGTACTAGTGTGGTGTGTTTATCGAGAGTATAACCATTCAAGAGAAGATCGATTGACACTGAAATTTCAAGCGAGCTCTGATCATTGTTGATTTTATACAAGGTTCAATACAAAATAGGTCACACTCTTAGACATCCTCGGAGACCCAGGGGCAGTCAGTCGGGTCGGGAAAAAAGGCGGGACGAAAGTTTTCAAGTAAGTGCGGAAGAGCCCCTGGGTACCGACTCTCACCGAACTATTTTCAAAAATTCAAGCTGATACCGGCTCCCGATTGGGCACAAAAAATGCTTTGTATTATTGTGCCCAACCGGCGAACAGTTGCTCCTGAGTTCTTTTGGTGAGTTCGTACACGACGGCTATTGTCTCGCCACACTTGCCTGGTTCGTTCACCAAGCTTGTGCGTACAAGGGAAACTTTTATTTTCTAGCTCCTAACCAGAAACAAAGGAATTACCGATGAGTTGAAAAAACGTTTGGGTTACTATCAGCAAAAGCAATTGAATTTTCCCCGAGAATATTCTGTTTTTGAAGGATCACAATTAAGATGCGGCGGCGATGAGAAATTCAAATAAGTAGTAGCTTGACAAGGCAAAACAACAACTTTGCACGTGCATCACGCTTTTTTGTACATTTCTTTGCCGTTAACTGCATGACTACCCGTGAAAATGCCTAACTTCACGTTTTGCGAAGGAGTAAACAAGCAATAACAAAATTCATTCTCTTCATGAACTTTGATATGGTTCGGAAGAGTTGCCTTGCATTTGACAAAGTAAGCGAGTTGGATCAGATGGGGATTTTATATCAAACTGAAAGTTTCCTGACTGCGTGCATTTCTTTGGTGCATAAGCTAGACAAGCCGTGATCGAGACAATAGCCGTCATTTACGAACACACGAAAAGAACTCATTGAGATGTGTTCGCCGATTGGGCACAATAATACAAAGCATTTTTTGTGCCCGATCAGGAGCCGGCTCCGCTTGAATTGTTGGAAATGGTCCGGTGACAGTCGGTACCCAGGGGCTCTTTCGCCCGTGATGAAAACTTTCGTGCCGCGTTTTCTCCCGACCCGAATGACTGCCCCTGGGTCTCCGAGGATGACTCTTAGGTAACATTGAGAAAATACACGGCTGAGCAAAATAGCGCTGACTTTACTATGTTGATAACTGTGTATCCATGTTCACCATATACAGGTATAGTCTCGCTACTCGTAAGACGTCACGCGATCGTGAAATTGACTTAAGAACACTAAACATATGCTGTTTCCTACACTAAATGTATCTTATTGCTTGATGTAAATTCTCACAAACAGAAAAAGGGGTAGATGTACACTCTTAGAAAAAAGTCTCTAAATTTACAATTTATAGACATTTTACGATCTCTGTAAAAGGTCTAGTTTTCCACTGATATAGAGCAGGAGCCAATTAGAGTGATGAATGAAATATTGCTGGCATCATTGAATGTTCTTGGGCAAATAATAAATAAATAAATAATTGAATAAAACTAATTTAAAATTTTGTAGAAGACTTAATAAACCAGTACGTTGAGAAAGTGCGAGCTGTTTCCATGATGAAGCAAATACTAGCCAGATTCCACTGTTTTCCTTATAAAAAACGCATTCTCCTAGAGGCTGATCGCCTATTTTTTTTTATCCTGTTGACCTGTTTAAACTAGGAGACAATAGAGAGGAGAAGTCGTTACGTCACGTTGCCATGGTAGCAAAAGTTCTGGATGTCAACAAACCGTGGTCCTATACAAATGTGGCAGAGAAAACGAATAATTGACATGTATGACTTTCCTGTACTTGATTGCTCTTAAGACCAAAACGGTAGCCCATACTTCTGTTCCATCGTTGGATAATACAAATGGCCGTCTCTGTCTAGAAAGAAATTTCTGTCCAGAAATTTTGCTACCGTGGTAACGTGATTTCACACATCTCTCTGTTAGCTCTTTAGCAAACGTTGATGCGCTCTCTCTTTATTTCATCATAGGAGTTAGAGAATGAAGAAACAGGTGAGTGTTACATCTTAAAACTCAATTAAAAGTTAATATATATATCACTATGTAGGTAGAAATAATTTTAATAAATGAAAACTGTACTTACAACGACCACATCTTTAGGCCAAATAAGTCAGACATGCCCATAACGGATTTCTCTAGGCTTTAGAAGTCTGTTTCGTTAATTTGGAGCTGCTCTAATAAATTATCTATTTGTTCTGATGTTTTTCGTCAGCTCGAAAGTTTTGGGGGGCTTTTCCTGTCTCATCCCGGAAGTTTAAGCTATCTTGACGGTCTTGCCGAAAATGTGAGCACACGGAGTAGCCATTCTCTCATTAGAAAATTTTATGAGACGTTTTATATATATACCGAAAGTTTTAGGCGATCAGTTATTTACCAACAATCGCTAAATCTTGAGGATAAAATGTGAAAAATCCATTTCCAAAAATCTTAGGGAAGTTTATAGAAAAACGCTATTATCTTACAGGAATTGAAACGGTTATTGAGAAATTTTTAGCCTTTCTTGAGCTATGAGAAATTTTTAGGCAATCTTTGCTTCTTTGAACATACGTTTTACAGAAACCAGTCCAGGATGCCCCTTTGAAATAGGTAGGAAGCATTCTTCTTGTGTTGTAAATAGTTAATGAAAAAAGACTCATGATTTTAATTACTGTTGTTTGTTTGTCCACGTGAGTAAAACTCCTCTTTTTTTAACACTTGCTTTGACCTTAAATTCTGTAGATGATTGTGATTATCAAAGAGCTTTTGCTGCTTTGGATGAGCTTAATCTTACTTCGTTGAAACAATTTTTCAAGGAAAACTATTTGCAGGTATTCAAAACTATATAAAAAAAAACGGTTTCTTCAAGTGTTTATTACATTTGAAAGGGAAAAGTTTATATTCTTCCATTGTCTAATTAATCTACCTGCGCTACGTTTGTTTTAAGGATGATACACTGTCCTTTATGAAATCAGAAGAAGAGTTGAAAAACGCACTGATAAAGGTAAAAAGAACGACGCGTTTATAAACGTTCACGATACCCGCCATCATCGATGAGAAAAAAGCAATGTCACGTGGTATTTCAGGGGACAAGGGATAAAATTTTCCATTTTTTGTTGTCCAGCTAGAATAAACAAACTCGACCGCGATTTCTTGCATTAGCAAATGTTTTCACATGCCTGCCCCCTGGGAAGATGGGAAACAGGCCGGTACATAGCTTTTGTATCCCATCTGTCCCAAGCTCGTTCAAAGATGGCGGGTATCATGAATAAGGTCTAACAACAATCTTGACTATAACACTTTGGTAGATACCATATACGGAGATACGACTTACAAATGGTTGCTGACCGTTCTTTTTTGCAGGATTTAGGTTTACGCTTTGGCCAAGCATTTAAATTCAGCAGACATTGGTTCAACAAATATCATAAACAGACAGGTTAGGAAGATTTTTGCTGTGATAAACACGGTTATTTTAAAATACTTTCAGCATTGGGTTATGAGTAAACATAAATGGTCACTGGTTAATAGACGTTACCAAATTGTTTGAAATTGGCCATCTTTACATAAAATTGTCTAATTTACCAAATTTAGCATGAAGCAGGTTTGTAAACCGAAGAAAAAGCAATTCTCATGTTGACATTTTTTTTGTTTGCTTTTGGTCCACATGGAACCATGCATATTATTCTTCCTGGACCGATTAAGCTTTCCATTTTAGATATTAAGATGGCAATTTATGCAAAATCATTGAGGATAGATCTTTCTACTGGTACCTCATTCAGCACATTTTGACCATTTTGACCGATCTTGACAGAGTTACAGACAAAAAACAAGCAACGTTTGGGGAACAATCCACTGCCAATTTTGCTACTTACCTTCTACTCTTTACAGATTAAATTTGTCCCTTTGTTGGAAAGAAAGCCAGTAAAAATTTCACGCGAAGGAAAGACGATCAAGTGGGCAACAAAACTGGCTATAAAAAGAAAGGCAAAGGGAAAAAGAAGAGAGGGAGAAAAAAAATCGCAATAGATTCGCAAAAAAATTGGGTTATACGCATACGCAAAAAACAAATTAGCATAAAATTATGTCCTTAGTTTTGGAAATCTATTTTTTAGCCATTCCTATGCTATCTGGCCGAAAAACGGTTCAAAAAGAAGGATTTTAGTCCAAAATGCGGTCTAAAAATTGGCTGACGAGCAACTTGAGTTCTCCTAATATTTCGGATAGAGAAACCGTTCATCTTCAAGGGATTTTAAGAAAAAAACCGAAAGAATTTGGATCTCCGAGGGAAGTGAGGTTAATTTTTCTATCTCAAACTGATCTCCCCTATATTTTATTTGCATGGCGACTTCGCCACGGTCGTTGCCATTTTTAACGGTCGATGCCACCATTGGTAACCAAGCCTTTATAGTCATATAGATGTAATATACCGTAAAACTCCTGCGACTAAGAAACTGGATTTGAAGAACTGGTTAGGCCAAAATTTGCCAGTAATACCTCCTCTATATAAGAACCTGTTTAGCTAAAAAATTTGAAAAAACAGGTTCTTAATTTCTAAAAATCTATGAGAAAATTCTATACACTTGGGCAATTAAGATAAGTCAACATTAAGAATCCTCTTTGGAGACATAGGTGCATACCTTATCACTCCAACTGCAATGTAAATATCAATGTTTAAAATCAAATAAAATTGTTATTGATACAATTACAATAAATTTATGTTATGTTCTGAAGTAGGACTTAAATTTTTATGGTCATTTTTACGTAACTTCTAATTTGGTATGCATTTTTTATATGAGGAATCAGCTGAACCACTTAATAAATACTCTAAGCTTTATTGTATTTTAGTCGGGGGGTCTTACTGTATTCCCTGGATTGAGTTACAATAAGGCAAATGGTAGGTTTTTGAATAGTCTTAGAAAGAAAAACGTTGAAGCCGAAGTTGAATTACGTTAAAACTTACGGAAAAGGCTAGGGTCACGTGTTATTGATGTATCAGTCAAGAAAGACAGCTTGCTGTAGTTTATGTACTTAAATTTTTCGGAATTTGGCGGGTCGGTGTGGTAGTGTAGTGGTAAGGGAGAGAGATCAGGATACGAAAGGTCCGGGTTCGAGCTCCAGTTAACTTTTTAACAGAAACACTCTCAAAAACAGGTCAAAATTTTTTTAATTGTCTTTAAAATGGCAGCGACCGTTTACGAAAGGGAAATTTGCGGCGACGTCATAATTTGGCATGAATAGCGTATTTGTCGTGGTTTTTGCATGAGAAAAAATATATCGACTTCACTCTGGTTTCGTTTTTATATGCTTTCTTTTTTCTAAAATAAATGCCGATCATGGCAACCAAGCAGGTACCTCGACAACGGGTGGTTCCAGAGAGGAGAAGGTAGACGAAACGGAGACGACGCCCATTGCTGCATATGACAGGTTCGCACGAGATGAACAGATTGAACGTGAAATCGGAATCGATGAATGTTCCGTGGAAGCTGAAACGTGCTGTCAAGAATTCGAAGTTTCATTGCCGGCGGGTGGGTATCTTCAGTATACCACTGAAATAAAGTGTGCAATAGGGCTAAAATAGGACTTTTTACCTTCGGTCGGAATTTTAAGTGCATAGTTAATCAGCTCTAATTCTTCTAGAGTTGTGTCTAAAGTTATGATAATCTTCTTTACAGTTAATTGTTTAAGAAGCTTTCACATTAAAAATACAAAAAATTTGAAAATAAGGAAAATCACCTGATATTCTACTCTTTTTCCGTCCCTTACTTTCTTTCTTCTTTCTTCTTTCTTGCGCCCGCGATACTATTGCAAACGTTGTAACACCACTTATGTCCTACTAAACTAGATCAAAAAGCCCAAGATTTAACTCACGATCACGCCGAACAGTACCAAGAAGATCTGCAGGCAAGCGAAGGGACTCTCGTGTCAAGTGTAAGTGAGCATAAATATCTAGCTGAAAACCGAGAAGATACCAGCACCAGTAGAAAAAGAGAGACCGACAACAACCAAGATGCGAGACACGAACTGACAGAGGGAGCTGCAGGTTGGTCAACCAGCCTTTAAATTTGTATTCTTCTGTTTTTTGTTTTGGATGTTAGTAAAGTCGCCGATTGTAGAACCTATTTTTGGTGTCATAATAACACACTGGAACTCGTCAAGCGAGAACATGGATTCATTGGTCATTTCCATATTAGTGCTTGTATAGCAATGCTCTCACTGAATAAAATTAATCGACTAAATCCAATTCAAAATCAGCTTTTAAATGATTAGTCGAAATTGTGACTGCCACTGCCAAAGTAGCCTGCGTACTGAAGAGTGTTGTGACTCTATCCCCAATCTCCCTCGCTTTTCCCTTCGTCCCATCTCATACCCTTTTCGACGCCTGCAGGGCAGGTTATTGCCGAAGCCCTGTTACTAAGTGTCCAACAACCTTTCTGTTACTTGATGGATTAATGAACAAGTTTTACGACAGATAAAAATCGTCTGTACTTGCTCAGATCACATCACTTCTCACCTAATGCTTTTCAGTCACATATTTTAGGTTTTTGCATGTTTTGGTTTCTATTTAAGCCTAGAATAGTCAATGCTCATAAATTTATACGTTACGTGATGGCGCTCTGAGATCCAAGTTAAAGAGTCCAGATTTGCAAATTTTCACTGACAGTTGTACCTACGACAGGCAAACTTTCCCTCTAATCATCTTGAGGCAAAATTGCCCATTTCTTTCATTTTGTTTCTTCCGTTTATTTCGTTAGCCAAGGAGAGTTGTTTAAGTCGTATGACAGGTTTTGGTACAAAAAGGACCTTCTCTTGCTTTTGAAAATTTTCATAAAGACCACTAAGCGAAAAAGAGCGTCTTAAAATTAGTAAACCGGCGTACCAAGTTTAAAGTTCCAAAGTGAGCGAGAATATAGCCTAACAAAGTCGATAGATTTTACAGACGTTGGTATGGTGGGGGCACGAACTTGCCCCACACCATACAAACGTCTGTAAAATCATGCGACTTGCGGATCTATATCTTCGTGTTTTCAACAAATCAATTTCAAACTTGGCAACTTTACTGCTTTTAAGGTGTTCTTTCGAGCAGTGGATTTTTTGTAAAATGTCTATGGTCCAGTTTCGGCATGTATCATTAATGAATTGCCTTTTTTGTTGTTGAATAGACCAAGGAGACCAAAGTACAAGTGTTGATACAGTTAGCGAGTGTCACAAACAAACCATCGAAGTATTTGTAGCAGGAAGCCAAGATGACGTTAGGCCCAAGTCGTCGACAAATAGTGTGTGTGATGACCTGGAAGCTGAAAAGAAAGACGCAACTCACAAGAAGGTCCCGGATCCATCAAAAGGAAGTGGCCACCTTGATGCAGATGACGAAGTGACGAACTGGGATGAGATTAATCAAACTAATCAGATCAATGGAAAGTGCAAGAAGGAAAGCCATATATCCTTGGATAAGAAAAGTAAGTATAGAGTACTTTCCAGACATTACACTACCAATTACAATTATCTTGAACACGTCATCGAAGACCCAGGGGCGGTCAGTCGGGTCTGGAAAACGGAGGACCCTCTCTTGAAAAGTCTCGCCGCCGTTTTTCCTGAACCAACTAACCGCCCCTGGGTCTCCGAGGATGGTTTGAACAAGATATACAGCAAACAAGATTCCTCTTAGTATAGGAAGATCTGTTAACTAATGGATGCAAAAAAATCATCGTAGGAAATCGTGGCACCGACTGTCTGTCTGCTCCGGTTGATGTAAGCTCAATAATGTTACACTAAACCAGACATAAGATGCCTTGACAAGCGGTGGACTTTCTAAAAGTCCTTTAATTTTTTCCTGGTTGTTCCTTTCTTGATTTTAAGAACTTATGAGAGCTCAACTTGTAGCAAGTCTAAAGAAGAGGCCATTTTGAAATCAGTGAGAATGCGAGATATCGTTCTTTTCAACTTAATAGTGATATACGCCATCCATCTTGAAGTCAGAATAGCAGGAATAATTTCCAGTTCAGTTAGGCTCCGTTTATAATTACAGTCGTAATTTGTTTTAACCAGGATTATTTTGACATTCGTTCCAAAAGGTTTGTCGTCATCTGATTTTGACTGCTGTTCAAACGAAAACGCAAGAAAGTGTGAGGACGCACAGGATAAACCAGCTTGTGACGATACTTCAAGACTGGATTCAATGTCTGACTTGAACAACAATCCATCAGTGCAGATTACTGCACTTGAGTTGGTTGCTTCCACCAGCCAACCATTATCTGAAAGAAAAGATAGATCAGTGCCCGAAAAAGAACAGAACGGTGGGAAGGTTTCTGGCAAGAACAAAGAGGAAAGTTGTGGTACTACTTTTGATAAGCAAGTAACTCTAGTGGCAAAGAGTGAAGAAACTCGCAAGGCTGTTTCTGCATTAGCTTCTAAATGTGAGCAAGTTAATATTTTAAATGAAATTTATGAATTCATCATTTTATTTTGACATGTTAACTTACGAAAGTTGCACGAGTATTTACCAAGTGCCATTTTATTCCAATCAAAATAGGAAGAGTAAAAATATTTTGCAGCCCCTGCAGGAGATGCAACTTTGTACATGAAATTAGCACTTTGCACATTCTGATAGACTTTGTTTTAACTATTATTCAGGTAAAACCAGGATGTTCGGCATTAAAGGGAAAGACCACGCTTACCAGAAAGGCTCTGTCCTGGATGCAGAGGAAAACAGAGAAGTGGAATTCAAATCTCTTCTTAATGCACACCCCTCAACACTCCCTTGGAAAATGATGGAGAAAGCAAAAAAGTTCATTTGTGCCTGTTTAAATGCTGATAGTAAAGGAATAATCTACTTCGGAGTCGGAGACTCACAAGAGCAATGTTCAAAGTTTAAACGAGGAGAAATTCTCGGACTCGATGTTGAAGAAGTCATTGATGATGTTGTTAAAGCTTTCCAATTTGTTCTTGATGATCACATTAAGAGTGATGCTGGCCCACTTCAGAAGGGAGGGGAGCAGAATTGTGTCAGAATAGAGTTTGTTCCAGTAGTAATCCAAGAAAGCCGTACAGGTCTTTATGTCATTGAAATTGAGGTGAACCGAGACTGGAAGTTTTGTAAGGACAACGTTTACTATTGCAAATCCTGGGCTGAAAAACGAGGAGTTCACAAAGATGAAGGCACATCCGCAAAGAAGGCCCTGAGCGACTTCTACAAAGTACACAAAGATCAGTATGACGACGTAGCCATTAGGACCAATGGCGCCTCAACAAACGTGAAGCAGCATGAGGTTAATCGGCAAGTGAAGGAACCTCTTATGGCGAAGTACAAGGAATGGAAGAGGGACACAAAACTTGGTTAGTGTCATAAAGATTTAACGTTATCAAATTCTTTCTCTAGCCACAAGTGATATGACTTAAATCAATTACTAAATTATCTTAGAGTAACCCGTGAATGGGGAAGGAAGGTTGCCCAACTCGACCTCTAAAGAATTCTGCCTAATGATTTAAAAGTGGATGTGGACGACGTCATAACAACAAACAGAAATATAAAACAAAGACAACAACAAAAATGACAAAAAAAGTACTTTTCTTCAAATCCTGGAGGATAAACCTCCTGGTGTAAAATTGTTCCCGTCAAATGGGCGAGATGATCACTATAACGCTTCTTGGTACTGCTGAGAGGACTGACTGGTCAAGGCGGTTTGTAACCTGAATGATTCTAACCGTTAATAAAAGCGTCAACGAAGTTAAAGAGCCGTTGTCGGTAGACGAGTACCGAGTGTTTTTCTATTTTATTCACACTCAATAAAATCTTTCTGAGTTGTTTTCTTTTCTGTTATAACAGGCGCTGATATGTCAGCAGAAGGTAAGTACATTCTTCGTAATTTTGTACAAAGGTTATAGCGTTGTTTGTTTTTTTCTGTTTCTCTGACATCCTCCGGTTTCACCGAACGAAGTACACATCTAGGTATTCGTAGCGAACCTATAAACTAATTAAGTATCTACTTCTCATGGATCAACTGTGTCCTTGTTATTGTTATCGTCAGAAGTCTTAAGTAATGTTGATACACTCTGTCTCATTCAAAATAGATCCTACCATGGAATTATTATGCATAAACCTGTTCTTTGTTTCAGATCCTATCCCAGATGATGCAGACGTCAAAAGGCTAAGTGCTTTGGTAAGAGAGAGGCTACGGGAATTGAACTTAAAAGAATTTAGGTACGTGTTAATTGCCAACAAGTTGCCCTCCCGTTACAGAGGAACGCCAGATTTGTCTTTTCTGCAAAACATCCCGTGGCTTGCAGTATTTGATTTGTTTGATACTGCGTCTAAAAAAGATGGACTGTACTACATTTGCAACGAAACAACAGATGCACTGAGAGCTAATCTGAGAAACCTCGAAGATTATGGCGAATGTCTGTCTGACTGGATATCTGGAAACGACTTCCACATATCAACCCGAGAAACGACCTGGATTTTGGGAAATGAGGAAATGCTGAAAGAAGACTGGATAAAATGTTCCAGGGACTGTTTCTATCGCGCTCTTTCTACGTATAAACGCTGTTTTCCCCTCGGACGGCTTTTATGCGTCTTTCTTGTTCTTGATGAAACCAATGTCCAGGAGATGGTCGATATGATGGAATGTTGTTTTAGTATCCTTGGAAAATTTGCAAGCAACAGCATCACTATCATGAGTGAAAACAAACATGTGTCTGAGGCCTTTATCAAAGCTTCTAAGCTGCAGAGGGAAATTATAGAATGCTCCATCCCTGGGATTCCGTGGAAATTGTTGAAAGAAGTTGTCCGTGAAATGGTTGGACCAACCAAGTTTGACGAAAGAGGAGCTAAGACGGAACTCCCATATTTTACTGGTCTCAAGGAAGTTTTCAACAAAATTATTAACTCTTGGAACGATCTAGAAGTCTACAGTCCAAATCCCCGGCTGCCAAGTTTACTGGAAGATATTGAGAAAGAAAGAAATGCCTTTTACAAGGGTGCACAAGCTAGCCAAACTAATTTGTTCCACAATCATTGTATTCCAAGATCACTGGAAGACGAGACGCTTTTAAGAACTGAGCAAGCATTGAAGTCGTTGTCTAAGCCAATTAAGGACCTCACTTGTCACGTCAAGACTGTCACTGTTACCTACGAACCAGGATCTGGGGCAACTACTATGTGCAGAAGAATCCTGTGGAGCAAACGCGAGGAATACCGCTGCGCAGTAGTCAAGGCAATTACAACAAGTACTGATTTTCAAATCGAACAACTTCAGGGGATCATGTACGACGAAGAAAACTTTAAATTTTCCCCTCCCTGTATAGTCCTGGTCGATAACTTCCCCGAAAACGAGACAAGACGCTTAACGGAGAAGATCTTGAAAAGGCAGACTAAGTGCGTCATTCTTTCTACTTGTCCAATCGCAAAGTCTAGCGCCGACTCCGATCAAGATTTGTCCTTGCGACAACTGGACGAGAAAGAGATGAGTCGCGTGAAGAATATTTTGATCACTATTACAAGTGACAACGAGCGAAGAAGGGGCGCACAAGAGGTTCTTGAAAGAGAGAAACGATTCATTTGGTTTGGACTGGAGTTGTTTGGACGCAACTACGACAAGATTGAGGAGAGGCTTCAGAATCACATCAGGAGCACACTTGAGTTGTTGGACGATTCTAAAGACAGTCATGAAATGGTCCTAAATTTCTGTTGCTTTCTTCATTATTACAGTGATAGCCGAGCTATTCTTCCCCACCCAGTTGTCAGTGATTTTCTCTATGAAGCCAGTAATGAGTCTGAACAAGATTTCGCCTTAATGCAGCGCATTCATGACATTTTTGGAGGACTTCTCCTTGAAGGATTTAATGAAAAAAATGGTTACTTTGGATGGAGGCCGGCACACTCTCTCGTCAGTGAAGCCGTTACATCAAAACTCAACATCGAAGACACAGCTATCGCTTTACTAGACGCAACTAACAAAGGAAAAGCCTATGTAAACAAGTATTTGAAGGATGAAGTTTTTAAGGTGTTCTTGGCACGTAAGAAAATTTCCGACGCAGTTTTTCTCGAGGATAAAGGAACAGATGATGGAAGCATTGAATCTGACTTTGAGGACGAGGTACTTGGGTTTTACGAAGTTAAAACAAGGTATTCTCCTTTGGTATTGGATATCCTGAAAGCAGATGATGGTATTCAAAGAGCCCTCCGATTATTCATCACAATCTGTGAAATGGCCTTTGAACATGAAGATAAGGCTTACGCTTGGCAGCAGCTTGCACGATTCATGGGGTACGAAATGCGTGGAAATGAAATGGATGACAAGAACGAGCAACATAACCGTCTTCAAGCAGCCATGAATAAAGAACAGGACCCCAAGTTACCCATGCCTAAAACAGGTATTGAAGCAGCACATATGGCAGTTGATATTGCCATAAAGCAGCAACCCAAGAGAAGTCATCACTATGGTACCAAAGGAACTCTGTACCTTCTACAGCTAAGAGATTTCAAACCAAATGCAGAGCGACCTTCCGTTCTTGCCTCAGTGCCTAAAGTGATCGACATCTGCCGCAAAGCATTAGAAGTCTATGACATAGCACTAAGCACAACACATCAACTTGATTACTACTCGATGATTGGAAAAATTCAAGCCATCGTTTCACTTTTTGAAGTTGTCAAAGGATTGCCTTTCTTTCGCTCAGATATAGAAAGCATTACACAGTATCTGAAGAAAGGTGAAATTCCGAAAGAAATGGAAGACGTACTCACTAAGAAACAAAACAACTACATTAAGAGTCTTAGTACCACAACACTTAGTCTTCTCAACAAAGTCTTTGGAGATGTTAAGTTCAGGCACATGACCACCTACGACGAGAACGCCATCAGAGTTTTAAATGACGCTAGAATAAGGGCGTCAAAACTACGACGAACTTTTTATGAACTAACCGGTTTTGACAGAAGTGAAATCAATGATGTGGAAGTTCCGATGCCTTCCCAATCGCTAACAAGGGATGAGATAGCTTTTTACCAACAGTTTGCCCAAGATATCTTGTTTAAGAACAGCGAAACTCCATACAGTACGTGGGTGAACATAAATGACGAACAAGCTTCCCTGATTTACAACGCGCTTAAGGTACTTTGCTCGAATGGAAAGGGAAGCCATGACGACATGTTAATCTGCTGCAAAGCATGCCTTCGTTTAAAAGAGAGGCCATCAGTAATGGAACTGGACAAAATTGTAAGCATTTGGGTTTCAAAGTGTCCGACATCAGCGTGGGCCAATCTATATAACTACATGATTCATTTTCCAGTTCCCGATAAACGCCTAGCCGCCTTCAATCATGAAGCTAACGAATCGATCAAGAAATGTAATCAGATTGTTCTGGAAAAAACGGGAAAAGGATTTCGCAAATCTAGTGCTGACTATTTCCTTGGGAAGGAAACTGGTTTGTACGCCATTGCAAACAGCCTACAGTTCCCAGCGCTGGAAACCAAAGGGGAAACTAAAACTGACTTTTGGAGAAGCAAGGAAGTGTCAGAGAAGCTGGAACGAGTACGTGGTCAAAAGGACGTCAATTCTAATGGAGTTATAACATACCAAGGAATTCAACTACGCTTTGACGAAAAACGGTATCCAAAGCAGAGCAAAGATGACTTGTGGTTTTATGTTGGATTCTCTGTCTCTGGCCCTTATGCATATGACCCAGTCGACAATGATACATACGCCATCTTGTGTTCCAGTGCCAGCGAAAGTGGAGAAAGGAAACTATTTGAATTAAAGATGAAGGCTCCAAGGAAAGCAAAAAGCTTCTCTCTTTCGTCCAAGTGCTTCAATACCCATGTCCAAAGTGCGAAGTCATCCTGGCAAAGTGTTGATAGCGTTAATGAGCCAAGTACATCAAGTCATGCTTCGTACTCGTCTGCCCTGCAACTTAAGAGCACTCCACCAGAAGAGCAGACGTCAAAACCCCCCCTCACCAGTCAGCAAAGTGGTCCCTGGAATTTAATGTGTGTTAAAAATCGAAAATTGAAGTCCGTCGAGGGCACTCGTGGTTTTGATAAGCGCACCTTCCATGCCAAATATGTTGACAAAAAAACAGGGAAGCTTCATCATGGTGCAGGGGTACTTTCCGCTGAAAAGTCAAAGGAATGCGATACTCATACAAGCGAAGGCTGGGACATCAACATTACAAGCCGCTGCCCCTTCGCTCATTCTTGGATGGGTGATACTCTTCAGTACGTGTGTTGTAAGTGCACTCGAGACGGCAAACAGATATGCAGAGAAAAGCGGAATCATGAGCAGTTTATTTGGAACTTGGGGCCTTACTACACTGAGGAAGGAACAGTCTGGAAAGAAACACCCCAAGAATGCCCGGAGAAAACGAAAAAGCCATCGAGGAAGAAACAGTCCAAATAAAGGGCTTTCAACGGTAATTGAGTATTTTATGGCGAGCATTTCTGAAAATTTAAATATCCAAACAAAAGTAAATGACCACGACATTGAAATACGTACTCATTGAATATTAGATTCGTTTACACACTGAAGACACGAAGCTTATTAGTGATCATGATTTTGTGTAACCGAAGTACCGCATTTGCTACAAGCACAATTGAAGACAGGAAGAGGCCAATGAGGGAAGGCTTCTTATAGGCAGGTTCAGTGACAGTAGCTGGCCATGAAGGAAGGAAATTACAATTTTTTTCAAATGGTCTGCCTTGAGCTGTCCTTGGAGGAAGAGGTTACTCGAAGGAATCGGCGTCTCACCGACAAACGGTCAGGAACTGTATGTGACCACAACGGGCCGGAACTATGTAGCATACAAACATGCAGAGAATTTCTTGGAGGTTTGTAAAGTTTAAGTGCTGCTGCGTTGTGGTATTGGACTTGATATCGATCAGATCTGCAACTTATTGCACTTTGTTGCCAGCAGGCGAAGTTGCCCCACTGAATCCAAAGTATCAACTCACTATTTGACACTGACGTTGGGATAATCAGCTTGTGGACAACAGTCTTTCAAATCTGTTTGCCATGTCGATGCGGGGCTTTTGGCTGATGATATAATGTATCTGGTGAGTCATGGAAGGCCCTACATCCGCCGTAAAGAAAGTTGTCGTTGGCTGCAGGGCAGGACGTTAAGATTTCAAGCCAACGTTTCACGCGTTTTTGTTTTTTTTTTGCATTCACCCTAAATGTGCAAAATAGTTTTGCCCTCAAATTGGTTTTTTGAATTTTGAAACTATCTTGCCTTTTGAAATCAAAGAAATCACTGCATTCAGTTGCCCTGCTGCATTTTATTCCAAGTTATAAGAAATTTTTATCAGCTCTTTCGTCGTTGACTCAGCCGTGTAATGTCCAATTTTTACTCTGTCGGCCTAAGTGCTAGAATATTATCACTTTTTTCAATTTTAAATACCTCAGAACAAAAGGCAATTGGACGGCTTGTCCCAGATTCTGCAAGATTCCTTAATATTCAAACAAAGTTTCTTAGAGACGTCAGCCCCGTGTTTATTTTTCTAAAGATAAACCTTGACTCTAGATATGTGCTCATTTTAGCATGATGATGATGTTAAGTATTGCAAACTATATTTCACGGTCGTTTTGTCGCACTGACCAGTCAAACATAAATATTATATTTTATCGTATTCCATTGTTTTGAATATATTTTTAAATATTTTCTAATTCCTTTCAGTATTTTTACAATCAACTCTCTCTAAGATGGGCACCCGGTGTTGGACTCTGCCGTTTTTCAGTCATTTTACTGTAACTATACTCTCTATAAGACGGACACCTCTTTGAGACGGACGACAGACACTTTTGAAACCGTTAACAGACATTTGAGAGGTGATTTATGTCTAGTGAAAAATACCTCAAAACGGAAATGTAGGTGCTCTACATGACAGTAAATTGTAAAATTTTTATTGTTTCATTTGTATTCTTGCTCCAGTTCCCAGGTTATATACTGTTACGCTTTTACCACGAACGGCTGTGAACATTTGCTTTATGAATCATGAACGTTTGATTGCACAATGAGAAGTTGATTCCACAGTTTCCCAGTTTAGTATTCCAGTTTTAGCTGTTCGGAGAAGTTAAACCGACATCGTTTCATCGCGAGTGGGTTCAGCGTTAATTTCTCACAATTACTGTTGTCACGTTACCTCGACTATATATCTATAAGCCAGACGCCTCTCTAAGACAGACAGTCAGGGCCGGCCCCGAAGGTGTCCCTCTTATAGAGAATTGACTGTATTATCTATCAGTAGGAGGTCCTTCCATTCGAAGTAAACGAATTGAACTTCCTTCCTGTTGCTACCACTGCGCACGTATTCCGTGCCTGCTTTGTAACCACGTGTTTTTGAAACCTGATTCCTTGTAAGTTTGTCATTTTGGAAGCGTCTGCTTGTACAACTTAAAACAGTCGGTAAGTTTTCTTGTATTTCGGACGTTTACTCCCGAATTCATTGTAAGCTTATATTTTGGTTTTAGAAAACCTCAACTCGTGCGTTGGATATACGGTATTTATTTCATTTGCACCTAATTGAACTTCACTGTAAATTGGACTTCACACAGTTGATTTGGATCTGGATCTATTCGAAACGTGGAAGTTTATCTTTTATAGAATAAAGATACGGTTTTTGCATGCGGAGTTCGAGTGTTCGGCTTATCTTCGCAACACTTCTTATCTTAATTCTTATTTAACGGATGTTAATAGATAAATGTTAACACGAATGACTCTTCGCTAACTTCGACTGCTCATCATGTGCTGTTTATGTCCTTGTCCTCTCTCTTCTGCCTCGCTTCTATTCTGATATTTGGATCGGCTGTGAAATTCGTGACTGCCACCCGTGCCAACTTAAAGAGTTTTCGAATGGATCCTAAAGAGAGAAAAAAAGTGCTAACCAAGGTATAGTTCTTCGAAGACTGACTTAGCGCTAATCGGGGATTAAATTTTAATCCGGGCCTCTTTTTTTTGTTCAAAAGCTTTTCCTCGGATAATTTTCTCTATTCCTTACAAAGCATCCAACCATCAAATAGCAGACAATAAGAATTCAGCTGAATTTGCTTTTAACCTTCAATATCTGAATTCCAATTTCACATTAACTCTATGTTATCTTAACCTAGCTTTGAACAAAAAACGCCTGTGTGGGAGGCTAAACTGCACCCGGCCTAGAAAGAAAAGAAAAAAAAAACTTGTGCTCTCCCGTTTCTTTTCGCGTCCTCGCATTAGGAAAAGACAATTGGACTTTTTCTTTGGGGGAGGGGGTGGGGTGGGGTTGGGGTTACGGGTGATTTCCAAAAAATATATCCTGCACACCGAAAAAAAAAATCTTTCGTGGAGTACAAACCTGGAAATAAAAATCTTACACCAATGTATATCAAGGAAAAAATTCTTTCACTAAAGGTTTGGGAAAAAATTCTTACCCAAACCAAATCACGCATATCCCCCTTCAAAAGCCGAATTAATGGTCGTCTCCTTGACAGTCTTCGCTCGCCCTGATACAAACACAACTAAGACCTAAATGGACGATTTCCTTGCTAACTACTTTCATGTTACATGAAATCTAACAATAACACTGTTTTCTGTAGTAAGTCTGTGAGCAGGCAACATTTGAAGGAGTTTTAAATGCTTAAAAGGCGTCAAAGAGTAAGTGACATTTTTGCAAATGTTTACTAAGTTGCGTACAAAACTGCGATGCTCTCGCAATTGTTAAAACTTTCTACCGCAGTTTAAATATATGAAAATTTAACTTTATATATTCACTTTCATCCTAAGCGAAAACTGTTACCAGGAAATAAGCATATGCAACCACAAAGGTGGTAACAGCAGCAATGATGCACGTGCATGTCAAGTTTTCTGGTAAATTTCATTGATGTCTTTGCACAAACTACCACGTGAAAAGAGAGGAGGGGCTTGAACTTTTTCCCCCTGAAAAAGGGGGAGGGCTTATTAGAGAGGGGGGTTGGGGTGTTTAACGGGGGATGTACCACACTGTGAGTATTATTTATACCTTTGTTTGTCAATGCTTGGGCCTGCTGCCATAGATTCTTTCTTCCTACAATAAAGAGTCAAAGTTAACTTTAATATAAATCATTTTGTAGTGCGTTAACAGTACCAGAGTTGGCGAAAAAAAGGCACGACGTTTGTCACCCAAACAGTGAGCGTGCGCGCGTTAAAACATTCTATGCAATTTCTTGTGAGTGTGAATTAAGTCTGACTGGTGTTCAAAAACTAAAAGGGTAGCGTAGTTGGAGGTTATGCTTGGCCGCTCGTTCTAGCTAGCTAGCTTTCTCTTTGAATGATTGTTTTAGGAAAGTGACTTTCTTTTACCCTATATACTAAGGCTAAGTTTATACTGCAGGGACACCCAACTTCGGTTTCCTCCAAAATGCGTTGAAAACACTTTTAGGCTATCCAGAGTACTTTTGGATCTCTAGAAATGCATTCTAAGCGGCGCTACCAAATTTTTAAAAGTCTTTTCGAAATTACCAGGGCTTCATAATATTTTTCCAAACTGAATTTTAGGTGCAATTTAACGTTTTACCAAAGTGAGAATTTTTTTGATTCCTCTCTCCATCAGATTTTAGAATCCGAAAATTTTAGGTTTCCTTTTTCTACGAAAAATAGTGTATGCTGAGTTGCACAATATGAAAAATTAAACCTCAGAAAATCGTAGGAAATTTATTACATAAGCTTCGAAAATTGTACATGAATGGAACGTTCATCTACAAATTTTTAGCCGTCCTCAAGAAAAAGAAAATTCTAGGCAATATTTGCTTCTCCGAACAGATATTTTACAGAAAACAGTCTTTTGGTGCCCCTGATACTATACTATGGTGTGAACACCTGTGCTTCTCCTTTTTTATTAGAGATCGACTCGCTCCGTTAAAGAAATTGCACTGAAATCACTGTTCTTGTGTGTAAACAGAAGCCCTATCCGGTACTGTTTTCGTACCGGCGAAAAAGCCATCCGGTATAAGCAACATAGCCTAATATATAGAGTGTTTTCACATGACGTCACTGCGGCCATATTGGTGTCCCAAAACAATGAAACGGCGGCCATGTTGGTGTCCCAAACCAATCCTCTGGAAGTTGAACTCTTTTCTTATGCAAACGCTTTCTTTTGTTCCAATAAATTTGCATATAATGTAGGTATAGTGTTTGCAAGCGTCCTCACCTCTCTCAGCTCACCAATGTAGTATTTTGCGAGAATCTTTAAGGCTTCTGCTGAGTGACCAATGTCTTGGAATACCGTGGTCGCATCCAAACCTTGAGAAAGGGTAAAAAGACGTTTGTCCTTCGTGAGGCAGTGGAAGTTAACAATTGGGTTCAATTAGTCCCAGAATTAAGAGCAGGAGAAGAAAAGACTGAATGGATTGCAACTTGAAAAAATTAGGTTCACTTTTATAAAATTTCCGTCGAGAGGAAATTCAAAATCATATTTATTTATATTTGACCTACTTTGCTACCCTTCCAGGACTATTTGACCCAAAAGCTGAGCTACCCTTGAAGAAATTCATCAGGCTAGTGAAGTTAATATCGATTGAAATGTTCCCAAAACATATAGCCAGTCTTAATGTTCTCAAAATATAGCCAGTCTTAACACCTTCAGAAGCCTATTTAAGGCTTCTGACACTTAATGTTTCTTAATGTTTTCCAAGTTTTGATAAAGATGGCTGACATTCATCGAAACTGTCAGCATCATTAAGACGTTAAGACTGACTATGTTTTGAGAACATTTAAATCGATGCTAAGCTACCCTCTTAGAGTGAAAGGAGTAGTTTGTGTCAAACAAAGAATGACAAGAATTGTCTTATTTGTATTTTTATAAAACCTATGAAAAGAATGACGTGACAAGACGCCGCTGTTTCATTAAAGTTGAGTTTTATTGCATGAAATTTAAACCTGAAGATCATTAATTTATAAAATAGCGCGAAAAGTTATCTGTCTGTGAGTCCGTGGCCTCGAACTGAGCAAGTCTTCAATGCAGCCCAGCGTTATCCAAACAATCGTGTGACGTTCTTTCATGTGCATATGAATTGGATTACACTACACCGCTCTTAATGTCTGACTAACCTGCGTGTTCTAGCATGATTTCTTTTCCACCAGGATGCTAAAAAAGATATATAAAAAAAAAATGTCTTCTAAAGCTATTTACTTTGGCGACAGATGTGAAAAGTGCTATCAGTAACTACAGCGGGCAGTCTCAGTGTTTCGTTAGTCTCTTTCTTTGACACTCTGGGGGTGGGGGAGGGGGCAGCTGTCAAAGACGGACCGTTTGAGCATGCTTTAAAAATGTAAGCTTAGAGTGGGTTGACTGCAATTTCAGCAATTTCATTATACGGAATATACAGGGAATATCATGCAGTTAAGAGAACACCTAGGACTATTCTCGATCCCTGGGGACGAGGCTGGGAACTTTAAATTCAAACCTCGAATGTTTTGTTACAATCACAGGAACTGAGTTTGCTTCGTCGTTGCGATTATTGATCGTCTTTTGTATATTAACTAAACATTAACTTTTCTGTAGGATGAAGCGGCTACTCGAAGATCGACCAGTTTAACATTTCATACCTCCCCAACAAAGTCAGTCATATCGTAAACTCCGTCTTTTATTACTATCCAGCAGGAGGTTTGGTCAGCATGAAATGAAACTTCCTCGAGAGAGAAAACCTTCGCTTCCTTTGGATTCATTGCCTCTTTTTGTTCGCTTAAAATTTCCTTGCCTTTCACGAATGTTGTGCGCGTTCTGTCCTCCTGCAAACAGTAAAATTACGCAAAGAACTGATCAGTCGCAATCTAAAGCTATGTCCACTTTTGTGTCCGTCGAGTTTTTAAGGAGCTATGTCACGCTATTCGCTGCTAACTTTTTAAAAAGCTAAAACGTTTTCCCATCAATTGAATTCCAAATATAATGGTCCAGTGCAGTTATTTAAGGAAACTTTTTTCTGTCGTCGATTGCAAAGAATGGCAGGGATCGACATGGAGTTTGACCAACTTTTTCAAGGTTTAATGCTATACCTGGAAAATCACCGAAATATTTTTTATGGCCAGAGCTCTCTTAAGAAATTTGTTTGATATCACTTTCATATGACATATCTCTAACGGTGCATTTCAGTTGTGTATGGTTAAGCACCTAGTAATGACTTCAGCACAGAATTGATCTCCTGACATAGCCCGTGGAGCACAGACTAAGAAGTGTGTGTACAGCTAAATCAAGAAAGGTTGCTTTGGTAATTGGTCATTGGTAATTGGGCATTTGGGCATGGCCACCAAACAATAGCTTCCCAACGCCCAAGGCAACCTTCATTGAATCAGCTTTGTACGGTCGGATCAGGATTAATGATCTAAGATCACTCTGATCATGTTGCATCAAAGGAACCGCTAAACTCCATCTGGAAAAGGATTCATCGGCTACTTTGATGCATCTTGATTCTTGTGATCTTGAAGTATAAATCATGTTTCGGATTATCCCAATGGAACGCGCCCGTAAACGCGAACTTTACTTGGACAAGCCTAGTAACCAATCAAACGGTTGCTAACCTACTTTAGTTAATATTTCTACAAAACTGCTGACAATCTGCAACATTTGTATTTTGCCAGAAATGGCGTTTCAAGTTTTGTGAGTGAAATATTTTTGCAGTAAAGCGGATAACAGCCTCCCACGCAGACGTTCTTAGGGGTTCCTGCCCCACTAACACAAAGAAATCTTTTGCAAGCAACCATTCAAAATGTTTGTTTATAAATACACCCGAAACTAAGCTGAAAACATATTCAGTTGCTGTACTTGGTTATTTGTTAAGGTGGCCCCGTCATCAATACTGGAGCATAGCTGTGAAAAATTTTCTGTCCGCATAACTTTTTCGTTTTTTAAGCGATAGCTGAGAAACTTTGCAAAGAACAACAGACATCATTCGGCAATAGTACGAAATATTCCGATTTCATTGATGGTAAATATTTCTTGAGAAATTAGCTCCTAAAAGGACCCTACTGTTCAAAGAAAATCGCGTCTAGTAAAAATTTTTGCTGATATCTTTTACTGAAATTTCTAGTATCGCCTTTTATTGATATAATGAATATGCCGGAGAAATTTCAAAAAAATCGTTGGAGCAGAAGTCCGTAACTAAAGGTCGCTCAAAATTCAGCTGTGAAATTGTTCTGGAATTTCAAATATAAATTATTCTATACTATCAGGTATCATCAAATCACACATCAAATGTGTGCAGCAGGAGTTTGAGCCAAAACTGCCAAAAGAAATTTTAAAAATGTAGAGGAACAAGTCATTCTACTTCAGTGCAAGGTTTGGAGCGATTTATAGCGCATCTAAAACTAAAAAGTACCTTTTAAAGAATAGCACGATAGGCAATCGGCTTCTGTTTTAGGAATTAGCGAACACTGAATTTACTTGTCTCGAAAGTTCAAACTGGTGTCTCTTTCTACCTGAAAGTAATTTATTTTTGAAATTCCAAAACAATTTTACAGCTGAATTTTGAGCGACTTTTAGTTACGGACTTTTGCTCCAACGATTTTTTTTTAGAAATTCCTCTGGCATAGTTATTACATCAATTAAAGCCGATACCAGAAATTTCAGTAAAAAATATCAGCAAATTTTTTTACTAGACGCGATTTTCTTTGAACAGTAGGGTCCTTTTAAGCGTTAATTTAGCAAAATATATTTACCATCAATGAAATCGGAATATTTCGTACTATTGGCGAATGATATCTTTTGTTCTTTGCAAAGTTTCTCAGCCATCGCGTTAAAAACGAAAAAGTTATGACGAAAATTTCGTCACAGCTAAATTAAATTGCGCCTGTATTGATGGTGGAGCCACCTTAACTTTGTACTTAATTGATATAAAGTATATTAAACTACTTACTGAAAGTTGCCGTTAGTTCTTCCAGTTGTGGACAATTTCTCGGCCGTTGTAATTCAAGTTAGAGTGCTATCGTCGAAATACTACACGAAAGAGAATTACCTGTCAATGCTGTCTCTACATTCTCATTGATATGAGGTGGATCACTGTTGAGGTTGAACTTACATCTCAAACGTTCACCCATAAAAGCGACTAAAAAAATTACATCTGAGTTACACACAGCTAATTTCTTAACGAGAGCGTTTGTTTTGATTATGTTGAACGGCGAGAGAAGAGCTCATTGTGAAAACGATCAATAATTAAACGATGCAAAGTGGACCTCATTGGACAAGTTATGTTATGAATCAGACCAATTTTTTCCTACGTTAAAAGAGTAGGTGAAAAATGCCATATTTCCTTTAACCTGTGACATTCTTTTGTTTTCGGGGGGTGAGGTTATAATAATTAATTATATTTCTGTTAATTATTCGTTTCAGTTTTGTCGATCGTAGATGTTATAACATAATTGAACAAAATTTACCTATATAAAATGTTTTATACGGTAAAGAATCAATAATATGTCTGAACACAGTTTTGAAACATACCGAGTTTAGTTCATATACAACTATTAATTTGCATTAAGGGTTTATTTACTGGAAGTTCTAAACTAAGTTGTATATTAAAGCTTAATTAGGAAGTCGAATGTGGGAGAGTCAACAGAAGTTTCACGCTTCATACGTCGCCCATTAGTTAAACTCTACAACTCCTCGATATTTTCATGCTACTCCGCGAAGCAGCACCAAAAATTAGATGATCACGCGGATATGTGGATACACAGTCACAAGCACCTTTAGTTTGTCATTTGTCATTACAAATTCAGCAACCTCAGTGGATCCACTTATACGGCTGACTGCCTAAACACTGCAGCGTTTATTCGCTTCAAAATACACTTAGAACAGAATATAAAGCACACACTATGTCTAATTGTCGTTTGTCAACTCTGCGAACTGGTTTGAATAAGCTAATAAAAATACAAAAGCGTTTAAAGGAACGGCTGCTACTTCCCAGTTCTCAGGAATACAGCTTGGAAGATGCATAACATGCGCGATATCAGAAATATATTCTGTATCTACTGTCTGATGACGTCCTTCTCAATAAATTATGTGTTACTACTGCATCTACGGCTGTAGTCGGTTATCATGGAAATAACAAATGAAATCAGAATAACAGGCTCACCTTGCTTGAGTGTCTAGCATTGGGCAATCACCGATAAATTGTCTCCATCAAGAAACGCGTACAATCAGCTCACTTTGCTGTAGATATATGAATTCATCTGTACACGTAATATTTTGACGCTAAATAATCAACTGAAAAACAAAAGAGGCTATTGATAACCTTTCAGAAATTGCGGCTTAGTTTAGCGAGTTAGTGAGATAATAGTAGTTAGCATTTAAAAAGGGTGTGAGAGGGGTGTGTCAATAGCTGCATTTTGATTGGTCTATTGTGTAGTCACACAATCACCTTTGGTCACACAACTCACTCGTAGCTTTTAGCTTTGAGGCGTACAGTGCCGTAAATGTTCCCTGACGGCAAATGATCCCCAAAATGGACAGTAAATGATCCTCAACGGCAAATGGTCCCCACTGTCGACCGCAAAAGAACCTCTGAAAGACCCTGAAGTAGAGAAATGGAAAGGTTCTGAGAACTTGAACATGGCGTAAAACAGTAAAGTGAATATAACGTCAATATCCGTACTGTTAAGCAACAGCAGGAAATTAATTTTGTTTTTAAGGAATTAGGAAGGAAAGAGATACCGTAAAATTCCCAAAAAAAGCCCCTCCATGTAATAGCCCCTCCAAATATAAGCCCCCCAAACTCTTAACGCAAAAAACCCTCCGTTAAATCGCCCCTCCAAATGTAAGCCCCCCTGGGGGGTGGCTTGTACTTGGAAATTGTTCTCAAATACAAAGTAACACAAAGCAAAAACGGTAAATTTGCTTCCAACTATAAGGCTAGCCCAATCGATTTTGAAACGCAAATTTCCTTCCGTAGATAAGCCCCTCCGAATATAAGCCCCTCAAAAAGGGCTTTTGAAAATATATAAGCCCTGGGGCTTATTTTCGGAATTCTACGGTATGCTGGTTTACATCTGACGTCACTTCGGCCATGTTGGCGGTCAAGAACAAACTGCGGAATTTCTCACCTCTGGGAATCAAACTCTATTTTCAAGTAAATTCTCCGAGAAAAACATTCTATTGCTGATTGACCCCCAACATGGTCGCCTTGTCACGTAGTTGCAAACCAAGAATTAATAAAGAAATATCCTAAAGGGGGACCAAACCAACCTCGTGACAATTATTTTTGAAGCAAATTGTAATCAGTTAAAATACTTTTTGGTGTGAAAATAAACTTGATAAGATGATCCAGTAACTTGAGTTTGCAGTCGACAGCGGTCGAGTATCATTTAAGGCCAGAAGCCGTTGTTGGCTCCTGTTCTGGTCCATTTTGGGGATCATCTGCAATAAAAAAGTGCTAATAATTGCATGCAATTTCTTTGTTACCTGATATGTTGAGTCCCATGTTGTGCGAAAAGTTGCGAACATGCTTTGAAAGGTGTAGTTCATACAGCGCACACAGTGCCGTAGCAAGGGTAGATTTATTGGGGGGTCCAATCCGGAGCGCCGAAGGCGCTAGCTGCTAGTGGGGTTTGGGGCCTTGGGGCCCGTTTCTCGAAAGTCCCGGTAACTTTTCGGGCCCGAAATCAAATATTCAAATCGAAATATAAAGAACAAGAGCGCGGGTCCTGGCTAGCAAACTACTCCATTTTGTTTCACTAACTGATAGTTTTATCATGCTAGATGCAAAACTATTGAAACCTCGATTTTCAAC